TCGTTGTCGTGGTCGTGGTCGTGGTCGTGGTCGTAGTCGTGCTCGTGGTGGTCGTCGTTGTCGTCGTCGTGATCGTCGTCGTCGTCGTCGTCGTCGTCGTCGTGGTGGTCGTCGTCGTCGTCGTGGTCGTCGTCGACGTCGTCGTCGTGATCGTGGTCGTGGTCGTGGTGGCTCGTCGACGTCTTCGACAATCCGCGATCCCCAATCCCCGACGATCACCGATCCCCGACGATCCCCAATCCCCGACGATCCCCGACCCCAGTCGTCGGCGTCGGCGTCGTCGTCGTCGTCGTCGTCGGCGGCGTCGTCGTCGTCCTGGTCGTCGTCATCGTGGTGGTGGTCGTCGTCGTCGTCGTGGTCGTGATCGTGCTCGTGCTCGTGGTCGTCGTCGTCGTCGTCGTCGTCGTCGTCGTCGTCGTCGTCGTCATCGTCGTGGTCGTCGTCGAGCTCGTCGACGTCGTCGTCGTCGTCGTCGTCGTCGTCGTCGTCGTCGTCGTCATGGTCGTCGTCGTCGTCGTCTTCATCGTCGTCGTGGTCGTGGTCGTTGTCGTGGTCGTGGTCGTGGTCGTGGTCGTAGTCGTGCTCGTGGTGGTCGTCGTTGTCGTCGTCGTGATCGTCGTCGTCGTCGTCGTCGTCGTCGTCGTGGTGGTCGTCGTCGTCGTCGTGGTCGTCGTCGACGTCGTCGTCGTGATCGTGGTCGTGGTCGTGGTCGTGGTCGTCGTCGTCGTCGTCGTCGTCGTCGGGCTCGTCGTCGTCATCGTCGTGGTCGTCGTCGTCGTCGTCGTCGTCGTCGTCGTCGTCGTCATGGTCGTCGTCGTCGTGGTCGTGATCGTGGTCGTGGTCGTCGTCGTCGTCGTCGTGATCGTCGTCGTGGTCGTGGTCGCGGTCGTGGTCGTCGTCGTCGCCGTCGTCGTGCAGAGCTTGCCTCTGTAGGGGTCCTAGCGGATTCATACGGTTAGGTGAGGCTTGGCGCCGATTTCGGCGGGACTCCCGGGTGCCCGGGTGCCCGGGTGCCCAGGTGCCGGGGTGCCCAGGTGCCCGGGTGCCCGGGTGCCCTACGGCCCTATGGCCCTATATCCTTATAGCCTTATAGCCCTATAGCCCTACAGCCCTAGCCCTGTAGCCCTATAGCCCATATAGCCCTATAACCCTATAGCCCATATAGCCCTAATAACCCTACAGCCCTATAGCCCTATAACTCCATAGCCTCATAGCCCAACAACCCTACAGCCCTATAGCCTCATAGCCTTATAGCCCTATAGCCCTATAGCCCTATACCTGTATAGCCCTATAGCCCCATAGCCCCATAGCCCTATAGCCCTATAGCCCTATAGCCCAATCGCCCTATAGCCCTATAGCCCTATAGCCGCCCTTATAGCCCTCCAGCCCCATAACCTTATAGCTTTAAGGCCCTATAGCCCTTTATCCCAAAAAACCCATAGCCCTATATCTGTATGCCTACAGGTCCTTATAACCCTGTAGCCCTATAGCCCTGTAGGCCCATAGCCCTATGGTCCTATGGCTCTATAGCCCCATCGCCCTACAGCCCTAAAATATTCGGATTGGGGTTTTCCTCCGGTAGCATTAAATCAAGGACAGTCTTGGGTTTCAGAATTGGGTTATTGCCAACCAGTTGACAACAACAACGGCTCCCGCCATATAGTTCCTTACATTTTTTTCCGAAGCGGGAGGAATCGCGCTCTTGTGCGGGACTTCCTCGCAATTTACTCAGACGGCGCGCCCTCGACACTCAGGAGTCCCGCTCTCGTTTTGGATCTCTCACGATTTACCTGGGCATCGCGCTAGCGCTCGAGACTCTCCTCGGGACTCGTGCAGGACGCATGCTCCAGCAACCTGCCTGCTCGACCTGGCCGCCTGGGCCCGCCTCCCCGACCCGCCCGTTAGGGCCGACCCTCCCGATCTGCCCGTCCCCTGCTACTTCGCTCTCTTTTGCTCCGTCCTCCTCCTTCTCCCTTGTCCCTTCCTTCCATCCGTCCTCTCTTTCCCTGCCTCAGGAGCTGCACGAAGTACACGCCACAGGTAAGAAAGATATGCCCCTACGGGGGTGCGACCAAAGACGAAGCGTGCGGGTATCGAGGGTTTGGGATATACGTGCTGAATGGCACGCGAGCAGATCGGAACGAACAGTCTTGAAATGATTGTTGTTTTTGTTGTTGCTGATGCTGCTGTTGTTGTTGTTGTTGTTGTTGTTGTTGTTGTTGTTGTTGTTGTTGTTGTTGTTGTTGTTGTTGCTGCTGCTGTTGTTGTTGTTGTTGTTATGGTTGTTGTTGTTTTTGTTGTTAGTGTTGTTGTTGTTGTCGTCGTTGATGCTGATGGTTTTGATGTTAAGGTTGTGGTTGTTGTTGTTGTGGTGGTTGTTGTGGTTGTTGATCTCTCACTACAACTTGTGTTTTGTTCGATTTAAGTGCTCCCAAGGCTCGCACCCTGTTTTTTTACAAGGGGATGTGAGGGGTCACCAAACTGGGCCCCTAGCCCCCGAGTTACAACAACAACCCGCCTGATACCTTCTCAGTATATATTCTCAAATCGCGCCCTCGCGCGGGTCAAATTGTGCAGGAATCGCGTTGTTCAGACGCCGCGCCCTCGACAGTCAGGAATCATTCTCTCGCAGGGGATTTCCTAACGATTTTTTTGGCCTCGCGATCAATGCAGGACGCACGCTTCAGCCACTCGCCCGCCCCTTGTCTCTTCCGTCCATCCGTCCTCTCTTTCCCTGCCTTAGGGGCTGCACGAATTACATGGTGCAGGTAAGAAAGATATACCCTTAAGAGGGTACGATCGAAGACGAAGAGGGCGGGTATCGATGGTTTGGGATATACGTGCTGAATGGCACGCGAGCAGATCGGAACGAACAGTCTTGAAGTTATTGTTGTTGATGATGCTATTGTTGATGTTGATGCTGTTGTTGTTGCTGCTGCTGTTGTTTTGTTTGTTGATGTTGTTGTTGAGCCCTTATTCCTAAGCATTACCGAGCATCTGGCGGAGCCTGATACACTCCGCTGGCGTAGATCTATTCTAGCCTGCTGCTGCCAGCCTGGCCGGCACGGCGCCACTTCCCCAGGCGGAGGGGCAGGCGACAGCCGCGCTGCTTCGGGCGGAGGGGCTCGTGGCGACGCTGATGCGGGCTCACGCCAGCGGCCAGTGGACCCCGCGTGGGTCGGGGCCCACCTGTCCTCCACCTCGATCTCCGTCCGCTCCTCTCTCCGCGTCCATGCCTCCTTGGCTGACTTCGTCCAGCGCCGCCTCCTCCTCCTCCTCCTCTTCCTTTGGCATTTCCTTTTGGGATCATCCCTTAAGAAGTTGGAGCGATGCAGGCTAGAATACCCTGCGCAGGGATGACACGCATTCGTCGAGAAGCGGACACAACTTTTGATTGGGAGCGCTCCTCCTCTTCTTCATCTTCGTCTGTCTGCGCCATCTCCGCCACCTCCATCTCCGCCTTCGCTCCATCTCTGCCTCCGCCTCTGCCTCTGCCGCCTCCGGCGCCCTCCCCTCGGTGGTGCGCAGGAGGGAGCTGCGCTGGGGGCGCAGTCTTCTCCTGAAAGTCCGTGGGGCTTCTCAGAGGCCCTCCTGTTTTGCCACACGCCCTATAATGAGCCATCCTGAGGCTCTCTGAGAAGCCCTCCTGAGCCATTCTCAGAAGCCACCCTGGGGAGGAGGTAGGAGGTTTTGGCGATCCGTTCCTGGAGGCGAAGCTGCTGGTGGCGTGCCTGCGGTGCACACTACCCCAGCAAAGCATCCGAATAGCAGAAGAGATGATGAGGCGGGTGGAGGACACGTGTGAGAGCCCGGCCACGTGCACCTTCAAGGGGTCGTTGCCGTCCAGGCTCCAGACCAAACATGTAGCGAGCATGGAGGCGAGGGCCGGATTCCTGAGTACACAGTAGGGAGGTCTTGAGCAAAACGGATGCCGAGTCATGCGGTCCAGGGTTCCCCGTCCACCCTGGGACTCTCCTGCGGCTGCTGTCTTACCACTATATTGGAGCCCCCTGGCGCAGCGCCGCGAGGAAACGAGCCCTTCTAAAGATCCCCTCGATCCCCTTGATCCCCTCGATCCCCTCGATCCCCTCGGTCCCCTCGACTCTCGATCCCCTCGACCCTCGATCCCCTCGATCCCCTCGCCCCGCCCCTCGGATGGACGCCGACTGTACTCTACCGCCAGCCCTGGCCAGGCACTTCCTGGGCCCTGGGTTGGTGTACAGTCGGACCGAGGTATAAGATCGAGGTCGGTTCGGGGAGGGTACCCTAGTGTTCTTCGCGATGATTGGATGTTCTTGCGCACCCTGGCAAGGGTACCATTGGGATGTTCTGTGCGTTCTGGCCAGCGGAGGGTCTCGTGTTCTTGAGGGATGCTCTATTGTCCCAGGTTCGTCTGTGCAGACCTCCTGGCCTGGGCCAGGAAGGCCTGTACACCAGTCCAGAGCCCATGATAGGCCTGGTCAAGGCTGGTGGTGGTGGTGGTGTATTATCGAGGGTTGCTCAAGGTGCCCCTAGCCCAAGGTGCCCCCAGCTTTTCGGTCCATTTTAGAGTCCCAGGGGCCCTCTGGACCTCGTGAGGGGTGCTCTGGAGGCCGTGGGGGCCTCCGTGGAAATCCTGGGGGTACCTTGGGCCAGGGGCGCTTCTAGCAACACCCGATGTAGTGAGGTGTATTGCTCGAGGGCACATTTTGCTGTGTGTTGCTTGATGTGAGAAACGATGGCATAGGTGCACGAGCCGTGCTGGCCAGAGTGCCGGAAGGAAGCCCCAGCGAAGCGCCTTAGCTCGCCGCCATCGACGGGGAGCCCTGTGCAACGTTGAACGTTGCCGACGACCTAGAATCGGTCGATGCTGAACGATCGGATGCTTCGGAAACGGCCGGTCGCTCAAGGGTGAACGATCTTCGTCGTCGTCGTCGTCGTCGTCGTCGTCGTCGTCGTCATCGTCGTCGTCGTCGTCGTGATCGTCGTCGTCCTCGCCGTAGCCGAACGGTGCCGCACCCGACGGCGAGCGCCCGGGGCGCGGGGCCTCCCCGAGAGGCCGTTGAGGAGGAGGAGGAGGAGGAGGAGGAGGAGGCCCGAGCCATGCTGCAGCTCGGGGCGCGGCGGCGGCCGGCGAACGCGGCGCTGCTGCGCGCGCGGCGCACGGCGGCCTCGGCGGGCGAGGGCGCGCTGGCGGCCGCCGCGGAGCTCCTGCGGCCGCCGGGGCAGGACGCGGGCCTGCAGTCGCAAAGTCGCAACAGAAAGGTTGCAAGTAAAAGCCCGAAATATTGTAGTTTTTGTTGTTGTTGTTGCTGCTGCTGCTGCTGTTGTTGTTGTTGAACATTATTTATTCTAAAGAATAATTATTGTTGGGACCCCTGGTGCGCGACCCCCTCGCCGCGCCTAGGCCGCAGCTACATTTTCATCATTTTCGTGAGGAAGCCTCAGGTAATACGATGTCATCAAGATCCGGTTGTTTTGTTCCCCCCCGCTGTCCCTTGCAAAAAACACTATAAAATGAAATTTCTTGTTCTAAAATAACCAAACTTCAAGAATCCCTTGCAAAAAATAAGGTAAAGTGGACATTCGCGCGCGCAAGACGAAATCCTTCCAAAACCTTAGTGTTCGTAGCGATTTCAACATAAAAACATCAAAAAACCAATGTTTTTTTTTTTTTTTTTTTTTTTTTTTTTTTTTTTTTTTTTTTTTTTTTTTTTTTTTTTTATATATATATTATATATATATATATAAAAAAAAGTGTCACAATTTCATCCCGCGCGCTCTTGCGGATTTGCAGGAAACCCAACTTTTTTAAACATTTCTGTCAAACGGGCTTTTGCGATCAACTTCTTCACGTGCTTCGAACTTCTCCAACAACGGTTGCGCACCTGCCAGGGCCATCATCCCTGTCAAATAATACCATGCGGGACACATTCGTTTTTTCTTTCCGTGCGCACGCCGAAATCTTCAAAAACCATTGGGTTTCGTAGGAATTTTAGCACCGCGCAACATAAAATCATTTTTCGCACCGTAGGCCCTTCAAATCGTCGTCGTCGTATACTAAGCTAGTTTCCACAAGATGTTACCACAAGAAGTCATTGAAACCATGCGCCAGTGTAGTAGCCACGGTCGTCCGCATGCCACGAAGTGAAGTGTCCGAACGTCATAGGGCGGGAAGCTGGGTGTGGGTGGTGGCGAAGAGTCGTTTGGAAATTTGGTAGAGCTTGAACCGGCCCCCCCACAAAGTGGGGGTATTGGCGGCGTCGTATGAAAACCCTGGCACTGGTGAGAACACTGAGCGTTCGGGTAAAATGATTGTTGTTGTTGTTGTTGTTGTTGTTGAACATTATTAATTCTAAAGAATAATTATTGTTGGGCCCCCTGGTGCGCGCCCCCCCTGCGCCGCCTAGGCCGCAGCTACATTTTCATCATTTTCGTGAGGAAGCCTCAGGTAAAACGATGTGATCAAGATCCGGTTGTTTTGTTGTAATCCGCTTTCCCTTGCAAAAAACACTATAAAATGACATTTCTTGTTCTAATATAATCAAATTTCAAGAATCCCTTGCAAAAAATAAGGTAAAGTGGACATTCGCGCGCGCAAGACGAAATCCTTCCAAAACCTTAGTGTTCGCAGCGATTTTAACATAAAAACATCAAAAAACCAATGGTTTTTCAACAAAAAAATGTCAAAATCTCATCCCGCGCGCTCTTGCGGATTCGTAGGAAACCCAACACTTTTTAAACATTTCTGTCAAACGGGCTTTTGCGAGCAACTTTTTCGAACTTCTGCGACAACGGTTGCGCACCTGCCAGGGCCATCATCCCTGTCAAATAATACCATGCGGGACACATTCGTTTTTTCTTCGCGCGCGCACGCCGAAATCTCCAAAAACCATTGGGCTTCTTAAGAATTTTAGCACCGCGCATCATAAAATCACACGAATCGCACCGTAGGTCCTCGAAAAACACCTGCACGACTTTTCAAAATTTCTACCCGCGCGCGCTGTCCGATTCTACCCGAACGTAGGCTTAACAACTTCTGTGGGTGTGTACTCCACGCCAGTGTAGTAGCCACGGTCGTCCGCAGGCCACGAAGTGAAGTGTCCGAACGTCATAGGGCGGGAAGCTGGGTGTGGGTGGTGGCGAAGAGTCGTGTGGATATTTGGTAGAGCTTGCACTGCCCCCCCACAAAGTGGGGGTATTGGCTGGCGTCGCATGAAAACCCTGGCACTGGTGAGAACACTGAGCGTTCGGGTAAAGTGATTGTTGTTGTTGTTGTTGTTGTTGTTGTTGTGTTGTTGTTGTTTCCCCCGATTTCTATGGTTTGTTCGTTAGTTTATGTTTTTAAGTGATTGTGGTCTTTTGGGTTTTTGTTCTTGTGGCGTTGTCGTCCGCGTGGTCGTCGTCGGCGTCGTCGGCGCCGTCGTCGTCGTCGTTGTCGTCGTCGTCTGCGTCGTCGTCGTCGTCGCTGTCGTCGTCGTCGTCGTCCTCCTCGTCGTCGTCGTCGTCGTCGTTGTTGTCCTTGTCGTTGCCGTCGTCGTCGTCGTCGTCGTCAAAAACTCTCGGCACCGATCGGGGAAGCGTAAGACTCGAGCTCGGGGAAACGTAAGACTCGAGGTCGCCATTCTGCCGCCGGTTAATTCGCGCTTTCCGTTGCCCAGAGTGACCTTCGGTGCGGGCCCACTGGGGTTCCCCGATCGCCGAACGCGATGCGATAATAGCGTCTTGCGCGCTTATGTTTAGCCCCCCCGCGGCCTCCAACAAGCCGCGCACCGAAGGTCACTCTTACCGTCACTCTTACTCAGGGTCACTCTTGCGTGTAGCTGACTGCTGCGCTGCGACGTAAGAAGAGCTCGCCAGAACTCGGGTTCGCCGACGCGTCTGGACGAGCTCGCCTTGGATTTTTGACGGTCCAGCTTTCGTGGGGTGTCTGCAGCGGGAGCTCGCGTCAGATTTCGGACTGGGTCTCGTCATTTCCATGATGGCCCCGTCAGGCCCACCCGAGTCCCCCGAACCCGAGTCTAACGCCCCCCCCGAATTTCCGACGAAGTGTTTTTTTTGCAATCGCGGAGTTTCGGGGGCTCGTAGAGTTGCGGAGTTTCGGGTTGTTCCAAGGTGGGAGCGAGCCCAGCCGGATGCTCACACCTCCTTCTCCCAGAGGCCGTCTGGAGTGACTTTTCTCTAACCCCACCTCTGCGCTTGCCCCCACCTCTACAGGGCTCGCTTCGGTTCCTCTGATTCGATTCGACTCGATTCGATTTCGATGGCTTCCGATTCCGATTCGATTCAATTTTGGACTCCGTTCTGGGCTCCGATTTGTGTAGAGCATGGAGCACGAGCCGAAATCCTTCACATCAGTAATTTTGGGTCTCGGAGCCCACAGGGCGGTTTTTCATGTTTTCCATTCGACGTTCCATGAAGCCCGATGTCATTCCGAGGCCGCGCGTCGAACGTTTTCGATGGCGCTCGCGTTATGCGATGTCACGTGCGTTGGGGTCGTCAAAGGCTTGCGTGCTTGTTGCGGATCGGTTGATGTGGGCTGGGGTTTCTCAGGATTGTACATTTGCTTTGCGCTGGGGCGGTTTCGACCCCCATCCCTGGCTGATCCACCCCGCGGGTAACGTCGCAGGAAGAGTTCGATCATTTCGTTCGTAGTGCCAGCGATGCTGTCGCGGACATTGACCGCGCCACGGGGGGGGGTCGTCCAGACATTTCCTACCATATTGCAGTGTTGGTTCTTCGTTTTGAAGAGACACCGCCCCGCGTCATTCCTTCCGGCCCCATCCCTCGTCCTCCCTCTTCGCGTATCTGCCCCTGCTCTCCGGGTGTCTCCGTCGCCATCGTCCATCGTCATCGTCGCCATCACCATCATCATCAGCATCATCAGCATTCTCGTCGTCTCCATCATCAATACCACCACCATCCTCATCAACATCATCAAAACACCCCCCTTGTTCCCCCGCGTCTCTGCTTCGCCACATCCCCCGCAAGTCTCGTGGCCTTGTGAGGTGCTCCACCGAAGGCCCCATCGGCAGGGTCCTTAGTGCGCCGCCCAGCCCATGTCGGCACGCCCCTCAGACGCTTCGTGTCCCCATGAGGAGCTCATCGGAGGTCCCGGCGGCAAGGTCCACATGCCGTCGCCCAGGCCACATTGATGACACCCTCAAACATTTCGTGCCCCTATAGGCAGCTCCACCAAAAAAAGGTCCCAGCGGCAGGTTTCCCAGGCCGCCGCCCAGCATATTTCGGCATACGTTTCACACGCTTCGTGGCCCCACGGGGAGCTACACCGACGGCCCCACAGGCAGGGCCCACAGGCCGCCGCCCAGCCCATTCCGTCATACGCTCACAAGCTTCGTGGCCCCATTGGGGAGCATCCCCGATGGCCCAAGCGACAGGGTCCACATGCCGTCGCCCAGCCCATGTCGTCCACGAGTGGCGCCCAGCACGGCTCCAAGAGCGCCCCAAGAGGCACCGAGTAAGTTGCACCCTCATGCAAATAGTTTTTGTCACTTGTGGGGGTCCTCTTGGGGCCCTCTTGGAGCATTCTTGGGGCCCTCTGGGAGCGTTCTTGGGGCCTTCCCGGGGCCCCAGTGGGCCTTCGGAGGGCCCCAAGAACGTTCCCCGAGGGCCCCAAGAGGGACCCCCCAAAGTGGTACAAAGAATTCGCGCGAACGTGCAATCTGTTGTAGGCCTTTCGGGGCCCTCTGGGAGCTCTCTTGGGGCCCCCATTGGTGGCGCCTTGGGGCCTTGGGATGGCTCCAAGAGGCTTCGGGATTGCCCCAGACCGCCACAAGACAGCTCCGAGACGGCCGTCGAGCACCACGGGTGAAAGCAAGTGAGGCTAGGGAACAGGGCCTCTGGTAAGCCGCCACTGCGCCCCCTGGACTACCCAGACAGCGAGGGGACCTGAAACGCCCTGGGGCTCCAGGGGCCCCAGATTAGTGAAGTGAAGGTTTTTGCCATGCAAGCACCCCGAAATTCTTCACTTCACTAAACCGGACCCAGGACGAACTCGCTACGCTCCAGTCCCGCGGGAGATCCAAGACTCCCGCCGCCGCCCGGGGACGTTGCTGCATTGCGGTGCTCTGGTCACTGTTAATGGCTTCCGCGGGCTGCAGCGGCTCACTTCCATGACTACCCCGACTCACGAATCCAGTGGTTGGTCTGGCTCTATGGGTTGGTTTCGTTGTGTCGGTTGATTTTATGCTTGGTTGGCGGTCGGTGGATTTCGCGTTGTTCATTGGTGTCGTG